CACAAACACAATGCACCATTCTCGTCCCTTGCTGTCGATAAGCATGAATGAAATATTGTAGTTATTTTGTGATGTCGACAGGGATTATAGTCAAACGAGGGAAGAATTATAACCTTAGAAAGTCTCTTTTTCAAAGCAGGTGAACATATTGTGCTTTATAGTTACTACTCATGAGGGTGCATCATGAGTGAATAATGAGATCATACAAATATAGTCGAGATTACGGCTAGGATTAGGAAGATATGTTCGTTGTATGGAAATCTGGCCATTCAATGCATTCGTGATGAAACCAATCATGCACTACTAGGTATTTACGTAAGAGACGTTTTCTAAGGACAAGTGTCGGCGATGGTGTAATGATTAGTGTACTGGACTGTTGTACCCAAGTTGGCGGGTTCAAACCCGATCGAAGCCGTGGATTTTTAAGGGCGAAAAAATCCTTCGTACGCCTTCCTTCGGAGGGGAAGTAAAGCCGGCTGTCCCATGTTCGTAGATTTACTTGCATGTAAAAGATCCTCAAGCCTAAATGACGCCTCTGAGCTAAACTCAAAATCGCCTGTTTCTCGCCCAAGAAATACCTCCTTTCTCTCTTAGTCGGTGAAAGGAGCGTAGCGAAATTTGCGTGGTCAGACGGAAGAGCGGGCCTGATGGCTCGAGTCTCGCCACGTAAAATAAGGCAAATTCAATTCAAAGTGTAAAATTTTAAAAATAATTTCAGAACAACTGAGATAGTGCGGACGTGCGAACCATTAAAATATGTAATCAGGGATGGTTCACGCAACACTAAACAAATTGAACAAAATAGCTAAATACATCGTTATTACAACCTCATTAATATTATGACTTTTTTCTGCTCCTCTTTGAATAATTTTCATATTAGTATTACTCTAACGAACCGAGGTGGCTACATTACTGATCACGTTTTTGAAACAACACCTTGCTCTGACCTCGTTAAGGCCATTGGGTACCACGTGACTTCGCTTCTGTGTTATCATAGGGAGCTTTCATCGTATCATGCTCTCACTTACGCCGTGAACTCCGTTTTTCGCTGCACTCTCGGGCCATCACGCCACCCAACGCATAGACTAAGTATCCATCGCGCTGTCAGTAAAACAGTTACTCCAAAATGCAAGTTTCGCTTCTGATATGTATGGTAAGTGCCGTCTTGAAATCCATATAATAAAAGGTTTTACATCACATCATCTATCTCGGGTCCGAATAGTGTTTTAAGACATAGTGTCTTAATCTTTACAAATTTATTAAATTTAGTTTGCTAGCTATGATTTCATTTACGTTATTAGGCGTTTGCATACTTACAATCATAGGTGTTCTTCATTTATTTTTCCGTAGGCTGAAAATCTCACTCATACGAGTTCGGTGGGGAAATATTTCTATTTACTAATGAATTACTTCTGGTCAGTCAACCTTTTTTAAAACGAACACAATGTTTCCTGATTTATATTTCACTGGTACGAAGCTGCTAGTGATTTATTTTTGTATCAGTTTCTTTCTTTATCTTTTCATTATTAAATATTATAATCTTAATTTTAATTTCTATTTCCTGAATAATGTATATTGTTAAAGATGGTCATCAAACCTTAACTACAAATTAATTTTCTTTATACATTTAAATCCTTCTCAATTATTAAATCTTATCAACAACTGTACATTCCTGGCCTTGAACAGTTTGTCTATTGCAATGTCTTTTCTTGTACTTTCGTAAACTTTCCTGGAGATGAAGTCAGCAATCTTGGTGTTGCACATACCAGTCAGCCCGTTGCTTCGTCCATTAGGTTTATTCAATATCCTTATCTTACTTTTGTTAATACATTGTAATCTTGACCTATTTTTTAATGCAGTTATGTCCAACTCACGGATGAACATTTTTCGTAAATCATATCTCCCGAAATTTAATTAAAAACGTTTTTCAAAACAACTACTTTACGTCGTTCACAACTTCGGGTCTCCACACTGCTAACTCGCGATTATATCTCCTTAAAAACTTTTTCACAAATAAATGTATACGCCATTGACAGCGTCACGTTTTTTTCCCTTCTGATTCGAGAGCTCTTCTGATGAAAAGTTTTTCATCTAAAACTTAACATGTTTTTTTTGTTATTCACATGTTCCGATTGTTTCTGCGCTAATTACATTCTATTTTGTCCACGTTAACTACTTCGTATGAAATATTTTGTGTTTCTCGACAATGTCCAATTTTACTATATAATATTTATAAAAAATTCTGTCCAAATATTCAATATATTTATTTTTACTCGTCTTTACTGGTATTAAATGACGTTTTGCGCTTCCAATGTGCCATTCTTGTTCATATTCATTCGTAATTTCCCTAGTTTCTTATTTTATTTTAGTCGACATTTTTTATAATTACTTACAAAATTCCCTTTGGGTATTTGTTGTTACGAAACAGCGCTTAGCCAGGGGAGGCGCTAAGGACCGCCCGTGAAAGCACGTAGGAGTGGGTGCACTTAGACGCCAAAAGAGGCGCATACGTGAGTGCGAAATAACAACACATAATGTGGAGTTGCCATCCGTACACTTGCAATCTCAGGCTCTGTATTTTAATTCATTGATACGTATATGCCGAGCGCCGGTATTTCATTTGTGTTATTATTTATTTCCTTCTTTTAAAGTCGATTTATATATGAAAATTCTTGAATCATTTATGTTTTCTTCTTGATGATACCCACGTCTTCTTATCACCCAATAAGACAGATTTACTTAAAATTTAGTGAACTGCAAAGGTCGGTCTTCAAAGAATAAATCAAACTAGCCACAGTATTTTAGAAATTTTTTTAAAATATTTGAATATTAATAATGATCACATGTTTTACACGTATACTATACATTATACTACATACTATAATACTATATATTTATACTTACATAAAGTCCGCACGTCTTCAGTACCAAAATATATTTAATAGGTGAGATTGTTCAAGACACAGGTAAGATCTATTGTAAGTGAAATACATGTTGAAGTAAGCCTGTATAAGTATATTAATGAGAAAACAAACTCGACAAGACTTGCTTTAACTTAATGGGAGCCAGGGATTAAGACCGCATCGCAAGGAGTTACGAAACTTACTATTTGGTCGAAGTAGAAATAGAGTGGGGGAAGAGCGGTAAAGCTGCCCCAATAGAAGCCCGCGTCGACGAACTCCTGCAGGGAGTCGACGGGCGGCGGGAAGTGCGGCGCGGTGAGGTGCGCCAGCAGTCCGCTGTTGTACGCCGTCACCAGGAGGATGGCCACGACGTTCCAGCAGAAGAGCAGCGCGCGGCGCAAGGCGGGGCGAGGCGCGGGGAAGGGTGGGGGGTTGGCGGTGGCGAGCAGCACGCCCAGCGCCTCCAGCAGCCCCCCGCTGCCGCCCGCCCTCGCCTGGCGGCGCCGCCACGCCCACGCCCGCACACGCCCTCGAGCTCCTCCTCTTCCTCGCCCTATGTGCTCTGCACACGCAGCGCCAAGGCCCGTTAGACACCCTTCGCACGGTGCCACTCAGCAGCGCTTCCAAATAGTGCTGCTGCCGTCAAAGAATGCCTAGTGTCTCTAACAGTCTCCGCCACCGCCAGCAGTCGTCGGCGCAGCTTCGCCCCCGCCCTCGTGCTCTGCACACGCTGCGCCAAGACCCTTTGCAATGCGCCACTCAGCAACGCTTCCAAATAGCGCTTCTGTCGGCAAAGCACGCCTAGTATCTCCAGTCACCCGCATCTGCCCAACCTCGGCCTGCGACGCCACCTCACCCTCACCCTCCCACTCCTCAATGCCCTGCACGCTCTGCACATGAAACGCAAAAACCCGTTAGAGCCCCTTCGCACGGCTCTACTCACCAGCGCTTCCAAATAGTGCTTCTGCTTAGCAGTGCTCGGCTAGTGCCTTCAGAGCTCCCCGCGACTGTTCGCCCTTGCCCTGCGGCGCCATCTCGCCCACACCCCCAGCTCCTTCTTGTCCAGTGCGCTCTTCGTACGCTGTGCAAAGACCCGTTAGAACCGCTTCGCTCGGCACCACACAGTAGCGCTTCCCCATAACGCATTCGAGAGAGACGCATTCTTTAGAGATGCACCCTCCAGAGATGCACCCTCCAGAGATGCACCCTCCAGAGATGCACCCTCCAGAGATGCACCCTCCAGACTCGCAGTTTTAAGAGATTCCCAATAGCTGCATAATTCATAGAGTCATCCTTCGTCAACTCATTCTCCTGAGAAGTTGTGCCTCTCCAGAAACTATCTCTGCACTGAAGCACTCACAAGATACGCACATTTCAGGCACGCGCCTGCCAGACAAATACCATGCAGACACGCACCATCGAAAAACGCACCTCCAAAGTCGAAAGGCATTGCCCAGAGGCTCACCTACAGATACTTAGTCTCTCTACAAATATACATTTCTGACTTGCACCTTCTAGAGACCTACTTTCTAGAGATGCACTTTTTTGAGACGTATCTCACAAGAAATGATTCTTCAGAAATACATCCTTCAAAGGTCCAACCTCTAATGACGAATCCTCCAGTGGCGTACCTTTGATTGACACATCCTCTAGAGGCACTCCATCGAGAAATGTATCCTCCAGAGGCACACCCTCCAGACACTTCCGTCGCAAACGTACCGTCGGGAGAACAGATATTGCCGATTGGAGAGTAAAAAATTGCGCATGGATATGTCGGAGATAGAACGTGATGGATAGAATTCGCTATCGCGCAACCACGTCATCCCTCCCACCAACTGAGAGAGCAATAATAAATATAAAAGCCTAAGAGCTCTTACCCGGCTGCTGGGCGATGTGCAGAGGGTGGCGCCGGGCGCCAGGCTGCAGGCGCGCCACCGCCTGCAGCGCCAGCCCCGTCGCCAGCAGCGCCAACAGCAGCGCCAACCACACCGCCGGCGCCAGCGGCCGCAGCAGCGCCGCCGCGTCGCCGTACGAAGGCTGCGGCCGCGGCGCCAGCAGCGTCGTGCAGCCCGTGCTCCAGGGAACGCCAAAGTCCACATGTTGCGACACAGCCAGGTTCAAAGGATAACCGCCGGTCACGTTTGTGCGACTACGTCGCGTTAGTTGTAGGGACACATGCCAAAAATATTTGTGGTCTTCTAATGGTTCGAAAGACACTTTGCCGTTCAAAACGTTTGCTAGCGTCTCCACAATTTTCATCTCCACACCACTTCCATTATCTGCAGAAGAATAGAGGCGTTCAAAAGCCAAGCCGACTAAGTCCATCAAACGAAAATGTTTAGTATGAACAGTTATAGTGTTTTATCTATAAACATCTATAATTTGTTCACCATAATTCCCTCATTAACTTTTTTACAATTAAGGGTATGTTTTCAGCACTTTACAGATATATTTAATAAACTCAATATCTCTCTTTGCCATGAAAAAATCGCTTTATATGGAGTTAGACACATTGCCAAATGAAAGATGTGATATGATATTCTGAATGGTTTCTAAACAAGTTATTTTATTAAACAAATACGCTCAAAATTAAACATTTAATTATAAAAAGTTACTAGCAAGTAATTAAACAATATTCAAAAAATAAAAATTGCCTCTAATACAAATATAAGATGTGTTTATTGCCTTCATTCTGCGCACGTGGTGCAGTCACCATCACTGGCAGGTTCTTCTTGAAGGATACCTCTTGCAAACTTCATGTTTTTATAAATGTGGTGATGGATAGGAGGTATAAACTTCAAGAGGTCTATTACATACTTTTTGCCCTGGAGAGCGGTCTTGATGTGCTGTAAAGTAGATCTTATAAAAAAATTGCTGTTCCCATTTTGGTTTTGGATATTAATTTTTGCAAATGTCATTTCTCGCAAGAAAGTACTTTTATATTTGGTAGCAAATGGTTCAGCCTTCTCACTCCAGATACATCTCATTGTCAGCCAGTTAATTCGACACTTTTTCCTGTTGGTGATACCTATTTCTACGTGTTCTATCCATTGAAAGTATTAACAGTTCATTTTGTTGAGGAAATACTTGTTTTGTATTTCTGCAGCATATCATACCAATCCCTTTGAGAAAAGATATGGTGACTAGTTTTTGCTCTTTCTTCAATAAAGGAAAACCTGAATGATTCGGAAAGTAACTGTGTTTTGGTTCAAGGAAATTGAAGTCAATAGTTTCGGTGTAACCACTCTGATTGTGCAGATAGTTCAAAAGGGAGAGAAAAACGTTGATGATGACGCTTCGATTGCCGCCTGAGTATGAGTCTTGAGGATTGGCATTATGTTCCAAATCTTGATTGAAATAAGAAAGTGAACATAAGAAATGATACTTACACAAACACTATAAAATTGGAAAACGCGAAACAGTTCAGTTGATTTCAAAACAGTTCGGCTAAATATGAACTGTGTTGAAGCCAAAGAGTTAATCACACTGGCCACCGAAATAACTGATACATTATTCATTTGCCAAAGCAGTTAGCACATTATAGCGGCAAACCTTTAAATGTGGAGTTTTTTGTCTTACCAACTGACAAATATTTACTATTAAGTATCAACCATGCTATTTTTGATTTTTTTTTTAAAAAAACGGAGTGAGTCAGATTAGCTTCTGAACGCCTTAATTATGGCACATTTCATTAACTGGTATTAATACTTTTGAAAATAAATATGGATATTCAAATAAAGAATTCATTTCAATTTACAGGATGATTTTATTTAGAGAAAAAGAAAATGCAGTTAAAAGTGCCATACACTTCCAGTGCATAGGCTAGCCTCCGGAAGTCCTTAGAGCATTCTTGTCAAACTTGTCCTAGACAAGTAAACCTAAGGTAGTTTGCCATTGCTTTTTCTAGGGGAGCTAGTGCGCAAATTTTTAAAGTTTGATTTTAATATAAGATGGCGTAGGCCTACATATAATATCCGCAATTATCCAGTTATTGAAATCGTAACTCTGATTGGTGCTAAATTGTTAGACGATTGAATTTTATCAGGACCGGACAAGTGAACTACCTACCTTGACCGGGTTTGAACCCACGAATTGGAGACCAATAGCCAGCCTTGATAACCACTATACCATCAAAGAATGTCATAAACGCCCTTTGATATTCATTTGCTCAAGAGAATGGTTATAATTGATCGTATTTGAAGTACGGCGCCAAATTTGAAATAATTTGGTCGCCTATGTCTCAACCGTCAGAAATGTTGAAGAGATCATATTTGGGATAGGGGACTACAGATGAGAGGAGTGGATCACTTTGTCTAGGATGTCATGGCGAGCGTCGTGGTGGATGTGGGTTGGTTACGGGGGGCATTTCAGGTTGATGTGTTGGTTTTAGAAAGTCTTCAAGAAGTAGTTCTGTTGTGTTACTTGTCACGCACCCCCATGAAGTTGATTTCTTGCTTCGGTTGCTGGAAATTATAAATGGTAGGGGAGATTCTTTAATATGTCAAGGTTGGACTGGGGATTGATATTCTGGGTTGTTTACAGAACAATGGGGTGAGGATTGGGGTCGAGGATGTTTCTATTGCAATCGCAGTACATACAAGCGAAGAGGTTCGGGGGAGAGAATATGGCGTGAGTGGGATGGAGCGTCAGATAAGGAAAGTCATGCCGCCTGTAGAGTATGTGATTCTGTCGGACCGGGCAGGGATGGCGTTTGGAGTGGTGAAGTGTCTCTTGGGAGTCATCCATGTTTGCTGTTGTAAAAGAATCCCAATGGAGTGGTCTTTTAGGAATTGTCTAAGGATGTCTTTGTCTTCTTCTTCTTCTTCTTCTCTTCAAGTATTTAGGCATAATGTCTGATACGCCGCTTAATTTTGGTATCTCCAGCGCATTCTTGGACGTCCTACATTCCTTTCTCCTCTCCATTCACCTCCAGTCACCAACTACAGACTCTCATGGCAAGATCACATGTTGCGAATGAACAACGACAGAATCCCTAAACAAGTGACAAATTATCAGCCGAGGGGATGGCTTTGTTTCTGGTATAAATGGCGTGCAGTGTGTCACTCACTGAACATGAAGGGCGGGTAGTGGGTCACGGTCATGCGGAGCTCTTCTCCGTGAATGTTGGGCCAGCGCTGGTTGAAGTCGTCCGGGTCCGGGTGCGTCTCGGCCAGCCGCCGGTCCAGACGCACGTAGCGGCCCGCGGCCCGGTCCGCCCAGAAGGCGCGGAAGGGGGCGGGGCCCGCCACCACCACCACGCGCTTATGGGCAACCACGCCCAGGGCAGATCGCTGCGTGGGGATGTTTTCCAGCGGCCACCTCTCGACTCCCAGCGAGTGGTGCACCACCTGGTGGAAACAGCGCGTCATCACACAAAGGTAAAGGGTACCCCCAGATAAGAAGGTAAAAATTTCCTCCCGAACTAAATGTCACACGAGTAGCTACACTATACCTCCAACATAAAAATAAGATTTTTGAAACATTTCTTGGTGACCCTGAAAGATGAAGACAGCCTCTCCAGGGGAGAAAACCCAACGCAAATCTCGGTCCCCCACTGGAGGTTGAAACGGAGAGGGCTAGAAACCTACCCACCGTCAAAGAAACACAATTACTTTCAGTGCGCACAGAAACGGCCTCGGAAATGAAAATACGTCGACTACGGCAAAGAGAACTGGAAAACCTAATTGGATTATGTGAAAGTAGCCACCTGGAATGTAAGAGGAATTGGAAATAAGGAATTGAAATTGCCAATTGCTCTTGAAGAGAGATATATAAACTTAGATGTAATAACAGAACCTAAGAAAAAGAAAAGAGTTCCTAAATATATTGGTAATTATGCCATGTTTGTTCTATTATTCTTTTTGTTTTATTTTTCCGTACGTTTGTACCGAGGTGCAAATGAAAATTTGAATAGCATTACAGAGATTGGGATTAATTTATACTTTTAAAAAAGGTAGGCTTCATATAATTATATTGAGTAATTATTAATATAATATGCAATGTATTAATTTGCCTATTTTGTATTATATTTATGTACTTAACCTCATATTATCCAATGTAAATGTAAATTGTATTTTTTAGAGCCTGATGATGAGGACAAATAGTTCCTCGCAACTGTCGCAATAAAAACAACACAGAATGATACATAATGTTATGATGTAAAAAATACAATAGCTAAAATGCAGGTCTGTTAAAAACTAAAGAGCCAAATAGAACAAACATGAATGAATAATAACAGACACGTTATTATTACACACATTAACAAGTAATGCTATGTTTTATAGTGGGGTGGAGAAAACTGCGAGAGCGGCGGAAAATATCTATCTTCGCAGATAAGGTTTTCTATCTATGTAGATAAGAAGTGGGAAAAGAGGATTTAACAATGCACATAAGTAAACGAAAGAATAATTACATTAAAATTTAAACATGATAGAGGACATCGTGTTGTAGTAGGGGCATATGCACCAGAAGAAGGTAAGAATAGTTACTTCGGTAAACCTTACATGAAAAATGAGTTCTTTCTTTCCTTTGATTTCTTTATGTTTTAATTTATTATCTCCCTTCCAATCATGCTAGTGATTGCAAGTAACCATATATTAATTCCTCCTAAATTGTTTTCAACTGTTTCAAGATAGAGATATTAGTACCAGACACTTTGTTTTGGAGCCTTATATATTTTTCTTGTTTTTTATCACCTTGAATGGCTCTGAGGATGGAAATACATTTTTCAAAACGTTAGTAAACACCTATGTGTTAAAATATTTTGCTGCTACTGACCAAGACCCGTAAATTTTACTTTAGTATAATAGTCGTTACGGATTCTCTATGTTTCATTTGGTTCATTTAACGATTCAGTTTGTTTTGGGGAATGACAAAGTATTCGAAGAGGGAGGTAGTGAAGTAAATATAAAAAGGGCACGTAGAAAAATATTGGACCGTAACAGTAGATTATAATGGATATTTAAAAACTTACCGTCAATACTGGCAAATATTGTTTTGTTAATTTCCGTTGGTAATCAGAAAACGGAAATTTCTTGGCATTTAACCAATTCATGTGAAAATTCTTATTGATGGTAGCTAAATCATAGTCGTATTTTCCTATCACCATAAATCCGGGGCAGTCGCCTCTTAGTCCTCCGAATTCCATCACGAAACTGAAGCAAATGTGCTGCGATAAATATTTCAAGAAGAGCAGCGAGTCGTCATCGTAGTCTTGAGTGAAAACTGCAAAGCACTGGACTTCACCGAAGCCATCGAAAACTGCCTGAACAGTTGTTCTCGCGAACGTCTCCATTTGTTCTTTGTGCTCATCGTTAGTTGTGAACACCAGACAGGCAGCCAACAACGCCTTCCATGACGCCATGGCTTTTCATTCTTCTGAAAAAAAATTCTTTTTATATAAAGTCACTGGGGGTGTTATGGCCTGCATGGTAATATGTCCCACACCCTAAGAAATGAAACCGCCATTAGATTGGAATTAAATACAGCGTCAGACGCTCTCTAGAGCTGTTAAGGGCGGGTGGAGGAGCGGGTAAACAAGTGGCGAGGCCTGGAAGCCGCCATTTTCCTGAGGAACGCGAAGCTGACACAGTCGTTACAATTTTTGCTCCCGGTAAGTGGTATCAGTTCTGACGGCAAAGCACTAGATTTAATTCATCACCGTGTTTTGATTGATGATAATTTATTATTAAGTAACAACAATATAGTAATGAAGTAATTTTGTGTGTAATTTAAAAATTGATGCATTGTTATAATGCGATTCTGATGTATTGTTTAAAAATGTTCCATGTGTGATGTTGTGACCCATGCATTGCTGAGTAAGCCAGAACACTAACACTTCAATAGAATGTCAAGGTGAATGCAACAACAGGGTTTGACCTGTCTAAATCTTCAATAATGTCAAAAGGGAATGAGTGGTGGCTATCAGTTTAAAAGGAGAGGTTCGTAGACACAAGACTACGCAAGGCAAGTAAACCAAAGGTGGCTCAAGAGGTAAAAACCAAAGCTTTCCGTTCGTCACGCAAGTGAGAAAATTTCAGATTCCAGGGGCACCTCTTCGCCCATACCTCCTACAGAATTGTACAACAAAAATCAAATTGGGTGATAAACCCACCCTCACTGATAATAAACAGAAAGATCTATGCGCTCGTATTTTCAAAGCGAATCAGGTTGGTTATCCAATCACATCCAATGTTTTGTAGTGTAATACAAGGGTTGAAAGGATATAAAACAACCACCCGGAAGTCGCACAAAGAAAAAAATAGCGACTAAACAATGCTCGAGGTAAAATTTAAACATATTAATTGTAAACGACTATATTAAAAAACTCAAAGCAATTCTCCTAAAAAAATCTTTCTTATTGACAGAAAAAGTTCCAGGTTACAACTCCTTAAAGAGCCCATAGTTTTGCCAAAAAAGAGAACTAAACGTGTACACGTAGTTGCTAAAGAAGACGGGGAAAGTGTTACCATTGAGGCTTAAAATATGATAGGATTAAAATATCCTAGACGAGGACTATGAACATTGAGACGTTTGTCCAGTTTATTCACCATACTCCTAGGTTCAAGCCACAAGGAAACTGTTTGTTTATAGAAAGGTATTCTTTAACAAACTTCCATTTTTGCAATGCAGCACATCATATTGTACGATGAACAAAATAATAATTCAACTATTTTGTATGAAAATAAACATATAATTCAGATTTTTGAATGTAGTATTTACATACACTGAGAGCTTACATTTCTCCAAGCAGTGAGAATTGCTCACAGTTCATTCGCCCATGTGACTACATTCTTACGACGATGCGGACTTACCGCCTCAACTCAGCAATTTCGACTGCCCCCGACCACGGCCAGACATTGGCTGTGCCACCCCTCCTCCCCTCACTAAGTTGACGTCATACACCTGACATGATGGAGAGACAGGATTTCCAAGCTCTATCAAATGCTAAATCATGCACGCAAACGTGCATTATAAAATAGCCAAATGTTCACGAAGCAGGGTAAAAATGGACAAAACATGCACAATCAAATTTTATTTTACTTAAATTTTCAGTTAATTTGCCTTTTCTAAAAGTGAACAATTAACAAAATTTTATAAACTGTTCTATGTCAAATTCAAGTTTTTGAATGCAGAAAATGACGTGTTTACGTCATAGGACGTAATTGGAGCAAACTTCAAAGACGAAAGCTAAACCAATGTAAGGTTGAATTCTACATTTACTGATTTTACACCACAATTAATATTTTTAACATTTTGGAGAAATTTCTAATGACGATATGAATTTAACACTTATGTACTTGTAATTAATACGAAACAGTCTTACCCACATCACCAAACATCTCCAAACTTTAATGTCTTCAAAATGTTAAATCACTCTACTAGAAGAAGACCTACTTATTCTTATTTCTGAAGATAAGGAAGGTAATTTTTCTTCAAGTGTATGGATACAAGATGTCCTGTCTTGTATATTGCTCTAGAAGTTCTTTAAACTTTGGATATGCTACTTTTTTTGAATTTGATCCTCCTAAAGAGTCACACACTTTCATTACAATGCATTTCTTACAGGCTTGAATGTTGCCTCAGCAAGAAAACTACGCACTAGATGGAACATAGTTTCTTTCCTTTCTCTAACTTTGTCACTATGAGAAGTAGATGTAAGGTGCTGACCCACTTCACACTTTTTAGAACATTTAATCTCCATAAATAAATAAACTAAATAACAACTGAATTATGCGCAAATGTATCATTTTGTTTGTGCGAAGTAGGACTCCATCCAGTTCGTGCGCTATAACCAATTCCACTTATGCTGCCTGTGTAATGAGAGTTATTTGCACTGGACCACTCGCACCAGGAAATTTATTAGTACTGTGCTCCAGCTATCACGTACTGTGATGTTGTAACTGTGCCATGTAATCAAGTGCTTACGTGCAGTGATTATTAAATGTAGTTGTGCAAGAACTTATTTTCTGTCAATCCACAACTCCTACATGAATCCTCCCCGAGCTATCAACGGGTTTCGAGACTACTGTGCTCCGCCTTCACGTCATCAATTCAGTCCACTTCAAAATATCCAAAATAGCCCGAACATTTTCATTAACTTATTTAAAAAATATCTGCTCTAACTTTTGCCACGAAATTTTCCATATAAAAATATCTATTTCCTCTGTAATATTCTGAAGGTCTCGTTTTCATAAAATTATTATAGGATTGGAAAACTGAGAAAATATTAATAATGTGAAGAATGAAAAATAATTTTTGTAAAAAGCAATTCCCTCAATAAAAATATTGA